TCAAGCATCTACCGGCTTCTGACAGTTTGTTCTCTTTACAGTGACCATTTCATCATGGGCTTAAAGTAAAAAATGGAAGGGGAAGTGCAAATGAATACATCCAACAAGATTCCACGGAGGCCTAACACATCATTTGTCTAAGTGGAACACGAAGCTCGCATACCTTAATGAGTCCCCCCCCCCCCCGACCCGCCCAATCATTCTCCTCTTTTCTCAAGGCTTTAGGGTCTCCGGACCACATCTCCCCCTTCCTTCTATTCAAACCTGCTCAAGGACAACCCCAGACCCCAATTCAGATTTCAGATAAGGTATTCCGCCTTGGTGGTCAGTGGGGTTTGAAACCTTGCCTCTCTTTGGGGACCCAAAGATGTTTTACCTCCTGTGAGGCATCATAAAGGCACCCTCCAGGCATAGGATCCTGTCAAGAACCCTGCAGTCATTTCAGGGCAGGCTGTCACCTATGCAGATGACTAGCTCGCCTCGCAGAGACGGAGGGGCAGTGTGATACAGGCCGGTGTGTGAGACCAGCCAGCAGGGCCTCGGAGATGGGTCACTTACCTAGAGAGGCTGTGGAAGATCAGAATGGTTGTGATTCTAGTGAAAGTTCTTAGATTTCAAAGGCCCTGTTTATTATCGTTCGACAGTTACAGATACAACGCTATATGGTTGGCTTAATTTTTTTTAAAAGATTTTATTCATTTGACAGAGGGAGATCACAAGTGGGCAGAGAGGCAGGCAGAGGGAGAGGAGGAAGCAGGCTCCCTGCTGAGCAGAGAGCCCGAGGCAGGGCTTGATCCCAGGACCCTGAGACCATGACTTGAGCCAAAGGCAGAGGCTTAACCCACTGAGCCACCCAGGCCCCCCTATAGTTGGCTTTAAAAAAATATATATATATATATAATTTATTTATTAATTTGACAGGAAGAGAGAGAGCATAAGCAGGGGGAGGGGCAGGCAGAGGGAGAAGCAGGCTCCCAGCTGAGCAAGGAGCCCGAGGCGGGACTCAATCCCAGGATCCTGGACCAAGCCAAAGGCCGGCGTTTAACTAACTGGGCCATCCAGGTGTCCCTGTAGTCATTTTATTTCAGTTTTATGACCTTTGCCTTAATGTTTAGCTACCTACAAAGCTATGTAAAACTGGAAACTTCATCTTGAACTGCCACACTGATTATAATTAAAATAGAATGAGAAGCGGTACTGCTAACATTTTTATGGCTTCGGGAGCATCTTCATTGCCCCTCCCTGCCCTCTTCCTTTTGATTCATTAACAAACTATCAGTTTTTCCCTTTCTTTCCCCACAGGCTCCGCTGTGTCTCCGATGGATTTTCTTCCATGGGGCCCCTCTTTAGAGGCCTTGGGACTTCGAGCCTGCTCTCCTGACTGCTCTCCCTGGTTTCTCTTGCCGTCCATGTCTGCTCTGCACCAATGACAGCCAGCCTCTTTTCCACAAGAGTGGTCCTCAAAGTGTGGTCGGTGGAACCTTGGGAGTCCCCAAGACCTGTGTCGAACTCTTGCATCCTCCTAGAAAGAAGCGATGCGCCTTTTTCACTGCACTGACATTTGCTCGGACGGCTTAGAGGTAGGGATGGAAAAAACGGGGGGAAACTTCGCGCTGAATCAAGGCCCAGGCATCGAGCGCGGCTCTGGTGGCCGAAGGGTTCTTCCCCGTCATTCGGTGGCAGTGAAAAAAAAAAAAAGTCAGCGCCACCGAAGACTCGCCTTGATGCAAAAAGTCAAAGCTCTTGAACGCTGATCCTCGGGCACGTGACTTTCCACTATTGTGTGATGGACCGGCAGGTATGCACCACACACTTCTGAACACGCCCAAGGATGAAGCTTGCTAAAAGGAAAAGCTGCGGTACATTTGTTTGAGATGCAGGCTGAACGAGAAGTTGATTTTCAAAGAACGTCATTTTTCACTTGAAAGGATGGCTGACAGATACATTGGAGTTATTCAGATGGGGTTTTGGCAGGTATTTTTTCAAAAAGCAATGAAGCGAGTCCCTCGTTTCAAGAAACAATTGACAGATTTTTTTTTTTTTCCCTCTTCAATGTTAAGAATCAAGTTTCCAAACTAAAATTAGCATTCTGGAAACCCTGTATCTGCCAAAACAAGTCTTAGGAGACTTGTATGAGCTTGACGGCTTCCCAGCACTGAGAGGAATTTCTGATGAGATCAGAGGTCTTAACGAATGTGATTTATCTGGCATCATATCATGGGATAAATCAATATTTGGAAGAGCTGCATAACTCAGTGAAATAATACTTTCCAAATGCCAACGCAGAATGTTACAAAACCATGCATAGTTAAAAGATCTATTGGAAGTACAAGACGGACCATTAGATTTTAATGTTAACAAAGCAGGAAAGGTTTACTGATATGGCTTCAGAGTCCACATAGCAACTAGTCTTTAAGATACTACCAGCTCCGACTTGTGATCGTATTAAAAACTATCCACAGGGCTGCCTGGATGACTCAGTCGTTGAGCGTCTGTCTTCGGCTCAGGTCATGATCCTGGGGTTTTGGGATGGAGCCCTATGTTGGACCCCCTGCTCAGCAGGGAGCCTACTTCTCCCTCTCCTACTCCCCCTGCTTCTGTTCCCTTTCTCACCATGTCTCTCTCTGTCAAATAAATAAATAAATAGTATCTTTAAAAAAAAAAAAAGACTATCCACAATTCCCTGAAAAGGCTACTAAAATACTTCTCCTTTTCCAACTGCGCATGTGTGCAAAGCTTTTCTTCAAACATGTCAAAATAGCCTATCTCTACAGACTGAATGTAGGATCTGGTAGGAAAATCCAGTGGCCTTCTATGAAGCCAGACATGGAAGATTTCTGACCTCTTTCAACATTAAAGTGTCATGTGTAAGCCTGATGATTCACAGACCTGTACCCCTGGGCCAAATAATACATTATGTTATTTTTTTAAAAAGTGTCATTGTTCTCACTACATTTATTTTGGAAAGTAATTATTTTTCATAAAAATGTAATTAATTAAGGGACTCCTGGGTGGCTCAGTTTGTTAAGTGTCTGCCTTCGGCTCAGGTCATGATCTCAGGGTCCAGGGATTGAGCCTCGAGTTAGGCTTCCTGCTCAGGAGAAAGTCTGCTTCTCCCTCTCCCTCTGCCCCTCCGCACTGCTTACTTGTTCTTTCTCTCTTTCTCTCTCAAATAAATAAATAAAATATTTTTTTTAAATGTGATTTATTAAGATATAATGAAGTTATTTTTAAATGAATAAAATAGTTTTGTTTTAGTTTCTACTATGATTAACATTAACAGCCGTAACCCAGAAAAAGTTCTTTGGGTTCTTCAATGATTCTTTACGATTTTATTTATGGGGTGGGGGAGAGCACAAGCAGGGGGAGCAGCAGGCAGAGGGAGAGAGAGAGAAGCAGGCTTCCCACAGAGCAAGGAGCTGGATAAGGGGCTCGATCCCAGGATCCCCAAATCATAACCTGAGCTGAAGGCAGATGCTTAACCCACTGAGCCACCCAGACAACCCAGGCTCCTCAAGGTTTCCTAAGTGTAAAAGAATTCTGAGACCAAAACCTTTGGGATTCACTGCCCTAGACTAATTTCTCATCCAGCCTCCAGTCTCAATGATACTTTCCTTAATCGTGGCCAACCAGTTTATTTGCATACAGGACTGGCTTCAGGAGGATGTAGAGTTGGCAGGCACCTGCCAGGTCTGATTTGAATAATGTGGTTACCACTCCCTTCCCCCAGAAATATCTTCTGTATTGGCCGCTCTCCAGGAGCTCAAATTTACCTCAGTGATGTAAGTCACTTGAACTTCTCTCTTCAGATCTAAATACTTTTAAGTGGTAATTTGGTGCTAGTCATAAGTGCATAAAAATAGCAGCCGAAACTTTGGCATATTGGCTATGTCAAGTTTTCTGCTAAATGTTTCTTATGTATTATCTCACTGAAGCTCATCGAGAACGAGAGTTCATCAAACCTGATTTTCCAATGAAGAAATTTATAGTTTGGTTTTATGATGTTAATCAGCAAGGCCTTGAGGAAAAAATGACACCTGCTGTGGGATATCAGGTCCCATATAGGTCCCCAAAGGGAAAGTCTGCAGCATGGGTGTCAGGTCCCCAGATGGCTCACGGCAGACACCTGTCTGCCCAAGGAGGAGTCAGGCACCCAAGGAGAAGAGATTAAGCCCGTCCTACTTTGCTGTTTAGTCTGACCCTGGGGGCCTTTGTCTCCTTGTGCTCCACAGAACTCTCTCCTTGGCCCATTCTGAAATTGTACAGTCCCTTTCCACTCCCCATGGGTACGTAAGGATCAGAACTGGGGGGAAAAAAAAAGCTATACAAAATGACCATTAAAAAAATAAATTTATTTCAGGTCTGAAACCCTGAAGGACAAGCACGCCGACAAATAGTACAAAAAGCAAAAATGAGAACATGAAAGATGACTTAATACAGGCAATACTCTGAGTTTGCACACAAACATACTTTTAAAGACATTTCTCCAACATTCACAAAAGGCAAAAGCTAGTGTTTTTTTTTCTTGCCACATTTATAAATGCAACAGCTTTCGAAAGCATCCAATTTCTTTCTAAAATCACTTCATTAAAACTTACACAAGTGTTGGGTTACCCAACACTTATATTTTCCAAAGATAAGACAGAATTATATGACATTCTTGTTTGACGTGTTACAAGTGTGACTCAAAATACAGAAAAAATTATCACTCCATTTTGTGTTTTGGAACATCCTATTTCCTCCTTTTTCTAATCAACAAAGAAAGACACACACGACATATATGCATATGCTGCTTTTCAGAAACAGAGTAGTTCACCTCTTGCCTGTGATTTTTTTCAAAAGCTCGGGAATTCAGGAAGTACATGATTATTTTAAACAACTGATAGCTCAAAAATAAAAATAATTATTTAGGAGAGATTTTTAGAATGTATTTTTGGCCATAAAACCTGTGACGTACATATCTAAGGAAGTTAATGATTCAGCACAGTCAGCCTGCCCGCTGAAGAGAAAAAGCAAAACGCAGACGCTAAATTCCCCATATCCACCAAGTATCCACCACAGCTGCTGACTGGATTCTCCAGGGGAAGATTCTTCTCTCACTAGACCCAAGTTCTGTGGTTCAGTGATCTGGTCAACCCCATGACAGATGGTATTTAAGATTCAAAAAAGATCTCTGAGGCCAAAGTGGACACATTCATTCATTTTATGGATGAGGAAAATGCTGGCCAGGGAGTGACAGGGAGAGCTCGAAACAGACCCAGGTCACAGACCCAGAGCTCCTGATTCCTAGCTACGTTCTCCTGGTGACATATTCTCCGGGGTAAAAGTCTACATAATTTACTGTCGTTTGATTACAGAGAATGTTATCATTTCAGTATAAAGCAATGCACAGAGCGTGCCCAAATCAGAATTGCTAATTAGCAAATTAATTGCTAATTGCTAATTAGCAGGAGTATTCAAGGGTATACCTAACTGGCCTTTTTTTTGGTTGATGTGGACATAATGTGAGTATCATGGCTGCTTAGATGTCATTATTGTAAAGATATTTTCCTATCAGCTTAAAAGAGTCAGGACAGGAACAACATTTAAATTCTCACTGTAAACAAAACACAGTGGTAGGCACTGTAGAAACACGTTTGGTCCTATTTTCTTTACCCTGAGCATGTAACAGAGCAGACTTTTTTCCGACAGTGTGGAGACTACGTACACTCTGGTGAAGAAAATACACTCCCCCGCCCACGGAGAGAGCACGTACCCGGGCACAGTGTTCCTCGAAGGAGAACAGGCATACACACGATAGTGCAGCATGAAGACAGCATTTCCAGAGGTCTCCACCAAATGAGAACCCCTGGGCTACGTTACCATAGATTTATCTCTGCAACCTTCAAGCCAAAGTATTAGGCACGATGCGAGAAATCATGAAAAAGCCAACAACACATACGATGGCATTTCCTGCTAGAAAGTTATACACAGGCATACCTCGTTTTTTGTGCTTTCATTTCCTGCCCTTCATAGATACTGTGGTTTTTTGTTGTTGTTGTTTGTTTTTAAACAAATTGGAGGTTTGTGGCAACCCTGCATCGAGCAAGTTCATTGGTGCCATTTTTCCAACAGCATTTGCTTGTTCGTGTGTCTGGGTCACATTTTGGAAATTCTTGCAATATTTCAAAGTTTATCATTATTACTCTATTTAGTATGGTAATCTGGGATCGGCGGTTATGATTTGCGGAGAGCTCAGATGAGGGTTAGCATTTTTTGGCAAGAGGTCTTTTTTCATTTAAGGTCTCTACATTGTTCTTTCAGTCCTCTGCACACTTAATGGACTATAGAATAGTATAAACATGACTTCTATAAGGACTGGGAAACCAAAGGATTGATCTCAATCACTTATGGTGATATTTGCTTTATTCTGAATGGTCTGGAGCTGACCCTGCAGTATCCCCGAGGTATGCCTGTGTTGAAAAAAAGAGAGTGAACAAGGTAGTGGGTACAAAATTACTCTTATTTCAAGTAGGAGTGAAAAGAACAGTATTAGCATTTAGACCATGACAGGAAGGCAGTGCAGAGAACTCAAGATAATGAGCCTGTGTCTGGGCTCCTTAGCTTAATTAGAACACGAATCTAAGACCAAGGTCGTGGGTTCAGCGTGAACACAGAACAGTTTTGATGGCCACTGACAGTACATGTTACAAAGCATTGTTTAACAAGAACAGAGGAAACTGGAAAAATCCTAGAGGTTTCTGTGGAAGTCTCGTCCCAGTGCTGTCCTGTGAGGGCTCAGAGGTGCCATGTTGGTAGGCCCACTGACGTGGACTGGACAGTTGGTCAGAATAATGGAAAGGGAGCCAGTGAGTAATATAATGTACACAGGGTTCTGCATGGCATGTACTTCTATGTGACTTAAAAGAACCAGACCTCCACATTAACATTTTAGAAAGCCTCTGACCTTCCATTTTCCGTAAAAAAGAAAACACCTTCAGAAAATACACATCAAGAAGCTTACTTTCTGATCAGCGACAGGAGATTAACAGTGGGATGCTCGGTACATCAACAGTAGTGTTCACAGGCGGCGAGCCCAAGTATTTTAAGTAAAATCTTGCTTTACGTTAACAATGAAGCAAGACAGTAATTGTAGTCCAGGGTCACATAATAATTTTCAAGTAAGTATCCACCTCCTGTCACATATAAATCGAGACTTACTGCTCAACTATCACATGATGTTAACTTTTTCCTTTGCCTCAAATTGCCGATTCTGACTGCTTGGACATCATCATGGTTTTGGATTCTTGATCTGTGGGACTATCTTCAACTGGTACCTGCAGAAAGAATCAGAAGATAAAAACACCTTACAGCCTCTGGCATGTGCCATAATGACAGATCAACAGCTGGCTCGGGGATACAAAACAGCGGACTAGACACATTGACGTCACACATTTCCAGGAACAGCGTCATAAAAATATTCATTACTTACAGCTTTAATATCACCGTTCGTAATTCCTATGTTTATGTTGTGTCTTTTGAGATCAGACTTGATTAATGCTGAAACAGAGAAACATCAGTGGAGTCACCAAAGGGTATATATGAATGCATCTCTCTCGAAGCAGTACAAAGTCTTTTTTGATGTTGTCCCATTCAGCACACGTTTGTACCACCACATTCAAGAGCATCCTCGTAGCATGAGAAAAATGCTAGTGCTTCTCTATGCCACTAACTTAATTAGCAATTCATTCATTAGTGAACAAATACAGGGTGGTAGGAACCAAAGATACAAAGATGAAAAGCACAGTCCTTTCCCTACAGCATCCTCCAACCTAAGGAAATATGGGCAGCAAACGACTATAACACAGTAGGGTCACTGCAACCACGCGGGTTACATAGAAGGTACAGTGGGAACAAAAGAGAAAAAAAATGTCTCTGTCTGTCCGGAGAAAATCACGGAAGGCTTGCCAGAGGAGACACATTTGAACTGAAACTTGAAAAATGAGTAGGAACTTGTCAAGCAGATAAGGAGAGGAAGGCACTCTGGGCAGGCAGGAAACAGTACATGCCAAGAATGCAAGACGGGAGGAGAACGGCCAAGAATCTGGCCCCGGAGGTAGTTTGGGATCACTGGAGCGTCAAGTACTAGGGGAGGAGGCAGGATGTGTGGCTTGGTGTTCAGCACCGTGTACACTGTATGGAAGAGTTTACAGTGCCATCTGAATAGGGCAAAGGAACGCAGAAAGAAATCAGCCAAGTGAGCCGACAGGAGAAACAAGTGTAGAAACGCTGCTGGACGTTGAACTTTGCTTCTAAATCCACCTTTATGCTAGTGCACCCAGACAAAATACAGATAAAAGCCCTCTTCTGTGCCCCTTCTCTAGCGGTTGGGCAGGCTGGGCTCTACTCTTGTTCTTGACCATGTCTACTCTGATTATCCCTAACCAGGGTAAGAACCGGCTAACCATTCCACGTGCTGTTTCCACCACCACACACTATGGTAACTGCTGACGTGAAGGCACGTTCTAGGTGCCAGACACGATGCTGGGAGCTTTTCCTGAACCACCACAGTCAATCTGCGTAGCGACCCTCTAGGGCAGGCTTTTTAATACCCTGCTGTATGAGTGAGAAAAGGAGGATCTGAGAGGTGAAGTAACTTGTTTAAAGTCACATAGCCAGAAAGAAGCTGGTCTGCCCACTCCAGAATCTTCACCGATTCTTAATACAATAGTTTGTTTTTTTATGCATAGTAATCGTATTAAAGTTAAAATCTGAAAAACGAATTAGTAGATTCATATTCTTAGAAAAGACAATATCCTGTTTTATATCTCTGTTTTTCCCCTTGAGTTCTGCCAAGCCATTGAGAACAAAAAGACATAAAAACTAAATATAAAGACAATATGACATAAGTACGTTTGCTGGGAAAATGCCCTAATTTACCTGTTAAAAGGATGCCTAGAAACATCCAAATACAAAGGAAAATGTTCCCTGCCTTAGGACCATAGTCTGATGTGAGCTTTCCTTGAGCCAATGTGAACAAAATTCCAAATATCTAAAATAAGAGAAATAATGGTTAAATTTGCTTCTTTGAAACCAGTGCAATGTTTTTCCCCAGAACTTTTCCTATTTTATTCATATGACTTAGCTTCTAGAAACACTAAAAGGCAGAATTTTTCAAACAGAAACAATTTTTAAACTTGTTATCCACTAGAATAAGTCAGCAAACTAATTATCTGAAACTTAAAAGAAATCAGAGGTTTACCTGGGCCGAAGCATTAAGAAGACCAGAGGAAGTACCTTCAGATTCAGGGTAAGTGATTTCAACAGCAAATTCAAAACCCAATGGGAGGTAACCGGTCATGAAGAAACTAGGAAAATAAATCCAGAATTATAGAAACAATTACCTGAAGGATAGTACCACATTGAGGCAATCATTCCAGTTCTCAGGCCTATTCTAGTGATCAGATAACCGAATATTTTGAACTTAACATATGAAAGTAAGACCCTATTATTATTCACCAATCAGCCCAACAACAGAAGAACTGAGAAATAAAGCAATTCCTAAGTTTTTCTTTTTGTGAGAAAGATTTACTTCTAATTTATGAAGTCAATTGTCTTTCTAACTAAATAAAGACACCTGGACTGAGAAAGACTTTTCCATTTTTCACTTCTCATATATACCAAAAAATTTTTAAACTACTTTTTCTTTATTTTTAAATAATTATGCATTTACGTGCACAGGATAGATTCTTTTTTTTTTTTTTTAAGATTTATTTATTTATTTATTTGACAGAGAGAGAGAGAGAGAGAGAGAGAGATGACAAGAGAGGCAGAGAGGCAGACTGAGGGTGAAGGGAAGCAGGCTCTCTGCTGAGCAGAGAGCCTGATGCTGGGCTTGATCCCAGGACCCTGAGATCATGACCTGAGCCGAAGGCAAAGGCTTAACCCACTGAACCACCCAGGCACCGGGATAGATTCTTTAAAGTTTAAAATATTACAAGACATTTGAATGAACTACAAATTTACAACCACAGCAGTAATACTTCAGAATTGTAACAGCATGCTATCATTCCTCTTACATACACACACACACGCGCGCACACACACACATGATGCTTACCCGAGTATCCCTCCAGTAACAAACACGACGATAATGTATCCAAGGTCCAATGTGAAAGTAAATACAACCATTCCCAAAAAAGACAAAATGTAAACTATCAGAGTAGTCTGTCTAAAACAAAAACAAAATTGTTAGTATTTTGCCTGATTTTCCTAGGTATATAAAAATCATGTCGCTAACCATTGCTCTGTCCATACAGTAATAATCAATTCTTTGGTTTTCAAGATTCAGGTTCCCTTGTATGGAAGATGTTTCTACCAAAGCATGGACTTTAAAGCTTACATTTAAGATTCAGCAGCAGCAACCGACAAAACTCACACCGTATCCAATGTTCAGACAGGAAGAAATATTCATGTGGATCCAATCACCTTTGTACCACCAAGTGGGAGAGTTTCCTGTCTGTAGCTCGACTGAGTTCACAATCCACCTCTTCCAAATGCCCTTTCCTAACCACTGCGGCTTACAATGTTGTCTCTACTTCCAAATTCCCTTCTCAACTTAGAATCTATATAATTGTCACATGACAGACATCTATTGGGCGTAGGACATCTATTTTAGCCTGTTCTATTCTTTTTTTTTTTTTTATATGTATTTATTTGACAGAGATCACAAGTAGGCAGAGAGGCAGGCGGGGAGAAGGGGGAAGCAGGCTCCTTGCTGAGCAGAGAGCCCGATGCGGGGCTCGATCCCAGGACCCTGAGATCATGACCTGAGCTGAAGGCAGAGGATTAACCCACTGAGCCACCCAGGTGCCCCTAGTCTGTTCTATTCTTATTTTTCATGTATGAACGCTTTATTTTCCCCATTTAGACCACAAATATCTCAAGGACAGGGGTGCTATATCACTTGTCAAAATCCCTCGCTGAACTATGGCCACAACACAAGTTTGGTGAATGAATGGCAATTACTCTGAGGACAAAATCAGGACAACAAAGAAGACATTTCTATGCCTACCATGTTTTCTCATTGTAAAGTGGACCAAAGGCTAGTAATAACTTTAATCTTTTACATATGTTCTCTTTATCTACAGACTGAACTGGTTTCACTGTAAGCAACCATTTTACAATAGAAACCACAGCAAGTGCTGTCTTAAATTATGGGAGAGTTATCTTGGATAATTTCACAATAAGGGATCTTGGGAAGGGCTTACATAATGGTATCAAACATATGTTGGGCCTTGAAAGGTACATAGGATACACAGGTGATAATTCCATATTTCATTCCTTTTATCGCATTCCATTTATTTGTCCATAGCTCCACTCATTCATTTCTCCCAAGCAGATGGGAAGATTCTGCTTGTTAAAAAATGTAGCTATTCTTGGTTTAGGGGCCCAAGATGGCAGCCTAGGAAGACCCTGAATGTATGTCCTCCCACAGACACAGAATCTACCTAGAAAACAATTCCTCCTGAAGAACTGAGGACTGAACAGCTTCTGCATAATAAAGGGTAGAGGGACCACACAGAGAGCAGCAGGAGAGACAGACAGGGTGCCAGTGGGAACCCCACTGCAGACCCAATGACCTGCGGTAGGGATGGATATCACTGGGCTGTCCCTGTGCGGATTCACCCGCCCCGGGGCACAACCAAAACCAAAACAACAGTGGCTTAAGGGGCAACTAGACTATGAGTGGAGGAAATCATTTAGTAACCCTAAAATGTCTGCCAAACAGTGGGGAAACTGCTGGAACTCACTGTGGAGTTGGGGATGCTGGTGATAGCCGCTGTTTACAGTGGCCCCTCGAAGGCACAGATGGGAACAGAGTCCACTACTTCACACTAGCTCCATCTGTCCCGCAAGGGCAGCCCTCCCAGACTGCATCTGCTCCAGCTCAAGTCATCCTACCTGGGCAGCCCCCGTACAGAGCACCCCTGCCAGCACTCGCTCTAGCTCTAGCCACCCCGCCAGGGCAGCCCAGAGCAGCCAGGGCACAGACTGCCTACGAGTGCCTCAGGCCCCCCCCACCCGCCCCCAGGCTCACACCTGCCCCAGGTCCAGCTACTCTGCCCCTGTGGACCTGGCTTGAAGCCCCTGGGACCATTGGGCCCAAATGTGCTCCAGCTCTAGCCCTCCCACTAGGGTGACCTCCGGCATGGAGCACCCCAGGACCTCTGGCCTGGACCAAATCCAGCTCTAACTGATCAGCCAAAACAGCTAGGCACACAGCGTCCATGGGGATAGGTTCCTACATAAGGCCACCTCTTCAAGACCAGAAGAGGGGGCGCCTGGGTGGCTCAGTGGGTTAAAGCCTCTGCCTTCAGCTCAGATCATGATCTCAGGGTCCTGGGATCAAGCCCCACATTGGGCTCTGTGCTCCGCAGGGAGTCTGCTTTCCCCTCTCTCTCTGCCTGCCTCTCTGCCTACTCTGTCAAATAAATTAGTAAAATCTTAAACAAAAAAAAAAAAGACCAGAAGAGATACAAACCTCCATTTATAAAATAAATAAGTCATGGGGATGAAAAGTACAGCACGGGGAATATAGTCAATAATATTGCAACCACTTTGTCTGGCGACAGATGGCAGCCACACTTACTGGGGGGAGCACTGAGTAAGGAAAATAATCACTCCCCTTTGTTGATTCCTGCGGCATCATTTACAGTACCCGAACTACGGAGGCAGCCCAGGTGCCCACCGATAATGAATGGATAAAGATGTGGCATGTATATACGATGGAATATGATTCACCCATAAAAATGAATGATCTTGCCATTTCCAACAACAGGGACGATCTAGAGAACAGATCTAGCCATATGAAATAAGTCAGTCAGGGAAAGACAAATCCCATAGGATTTTAATCGTATGTGGAATTTGAGAAACAAAACAAACAATCAAAGGAAAACAAAAGAGAGAGAAAACCAAGAAACAGACTCTTCACTACAGTCAACAAAGTGATGGTCACCAGCGGGAGACGGTGAGAGGACAGGTGGAACAGGGGAAGGGGATTGAGAGCACACTTCTCTCTCGAGCCCTGAGAAGCTGTAGAATTGTTGAATCACTATATTGTACACTTGAAACTAACACTGTATGGTAACTATACTGGAATGGAAAACTTAACTAAAAAACGAAAATAGTTGTTGAATCACCATGCTGCACACCTGCAATTAATACAATATTGTATGTCATCTGTACTTCAAATTAAAAAAAAAAAAACAAAAAACACTAAAACCAAAGAAAAAACCATTACCAACCCCCAGAAGGCCCCTCCAATCACTGCTTCCCTGTCTCCGAGAGTAGCCACTATCTTGGCTTCTAACAATGCAAATGAGCTTTATATGAATGGAGTCACACATCATAAAAATATATATATACCTATTCTTTTAAGGCCCAGTGCAAAAGATGCTGCCCCTGAAATCCCTTTTCAGTCTCCTAGTTGTTATTCCTAAGTTCTTCTTTTGTATTAGCATTTTGATTATATAAATGTATAATTGATACTGTATTTTCATATTATGTATTATAGTATAGTTAAGTGGTGCTATAGTATGGGGCACTTTAGGCAAAGACTTTTAAAGACTTTTTCCCAAGATTGTATTTATGTATGTATGTATGTATATTATTTTTTTGTTTTTAAGTAAACTCTATACCCAACATGGGGCTTGAACTCATGACGCTGAGATCAAGAGTTTCATGCTCCATCAACAGAACCAGCCAAGCACTCCTAGGCAAAATGCCTAGGAGTTTACCAAAATGCCTTATGCTCAATAACAATTTTTTGGTAGGAAAGACGACTTTTTGTTTACTTGTTTTTAAGCTTACAACATGAGAAAAGAACAGGATAAAATTTGTCAGAAGTCAAATATTTCTCAGAAAGGGCTTTTACAGAATAGGGGAGGGGAAGAAGCTGCATAAGGTATCCGAATTCTCAAAGTTAAAGTACGACCAATAAAATAAGACAAATATAGACTTCATTCAGAAGTGAAGGGAATCTAAGAATGTCTAGAATCCAAGTCCTTTAGTAATAATAGCACTTTTAAAATTTCTTAAAATAAGAAGCAAAGTTTCCATTAAGCCCCAAATACCCTAGGTTTGTACGCCATACATTTATCTACTATCACTTACTTGTATGTTTTGGTATGATCTAGCCACAAGCCACAAAGAATAGAGCCCACCATTCCGGCCACTACCAATGTTAGCCCAATCCTTCCAGCATTGATTTCTTCTCCCTTTAAAAAATGTTTCATAAGAAGTTAATAAGATACTTCTAATTCAAATAGATCTTTCACACTCTCATACCTTTCACAGTCAATGGAAATAATCAGATAAAATTAAGCATACAATATAGTAGGAAATTTAGTACATCTGTTAGGGTGAGGGGGGTGGGGGGCTGGTAAAGCACATATCAAGTACATTCGGTTTTCAAACCAGAAAAAAAAGAATACCTAAAATGTGGGAGAAATACAAGAAATTTTTCTTGAACCTCCACGGTTAAAAAGTGCAATGATTTTTGTTAGAATTCTCATGTAATTCACAGAAGTCTGAGAAGCAGATTAATCTGATAGTTTTTTTATATTACAACTGCTTTCTCTTTTCAAAAGCAAAGATAGGTCACAGCTTAATATTTACTTCTTTATATTTGGGTTGGTTTCCCTTAAAATTGTTTGTTTTTTCCCATATAACCAATCACATTTCTTTTAAAAAGTACTGAAAAAGATTTGGGTATTGTCACAGCAATCATACCTTCCACATTCCATCTTGTGTGTTTTATAAATTGGATTAAACGTATTCTCAATTAAAACAAATGAGAATCTTTTAAAGCAACAAGGTCATAAGTCTTTTTTTAAGATTGCATTTTTAAGTAATCCCACGTGGAGCTTGAACCTACAATCCTGAGATCAAGAGTCGCACGTTCCACCAACTGAGCGAGCCACATCCCAATAAATCTTTAATCTTATGATCATGCTAACAGGAATGACACTGTTTGAGAAACACTCTTGGCCAGGGGCATGACACAGTATAGACAGAAACTCACCTTATAATATGTCAGTATCATTTGATTTAATAATGTTGAGACTGAGTAAAATGCTCCAGTTATGATACCTACAATAATAAATGGGAAATTATAAATGTACCATTTACTAGATGATATGAGTACTCCGGGAAAATGGTGAATATAGAACACATTTCTCACGCAGCTGCCAGAGAAAATGAAGAATTCTTGCCATTCCCTTTCAGACGATGGAATGATCAATTTAACATCTGAACTTACTAGAGATTACAATGGTAAAATTCTGTCATTACACCATTTATCATTATTTAGACTCAGATATGTCAACCATAACTCCTGTCTGTGTGCAGAACACTGTACACAGCCATGAAGCCCTGAACGGATTGCTCACTGAGCTCCTACAACGTACGCAAGCTCATGAATGTTCAATCATGAGACCGGAACCCTGCCTCAGAGACCTCACCCCTGCATTCACGACTTCAAGGCAACTGGTAAGAAAATATTAATTAGAGAATATTTAAAAAGGAAAAATAAAAAAGTTATCAGAAAGCATGTGACTGGGTTTGAATCCTGCTGATTCCTGGCACATTTGTAGGACTTTAGGTAAGCCTTTTAATCTGGTGAGACTTAAGTTTATTCTTTCTTTCTTTATTATTAAATATTTCAAGCATAGAAAACAATGTACCTCTTTCTCAGAGGTAACACTGATCCTCATGTTAGTGCTTTTCATTTTATTTTACTTTTTTTTTTTAAAGATTATTTATTGATTTGCAGGGCACCTGGGTGGCTCAGTGGGTTAAGCATCTGTCTTCAGCTCAGGTCATGATCCCAGGGTCCTGGGATTGAGCCAGATCGGGCTCCCTGCTCAACAGGGAGTCTGCTTCTCCCTTTCCCACTGCCTCTGCAGTGTTCCCTCTCTGTCAAATAAATAAAATCTTCTTTTTTAAAAGATTTTATTTATTTATTTGACAGAGAGAGAGAGATCACAAGTCGGCAGAGAGGCAGGCAGAAAGAAGGGGAAGCAGGCTCCCTGCTGAGCAGAGAGCCCGATGCGGGGCTCAATCCCAGGACCCTGAGATCATGACCTGAGCAGAAGGCAGAGGCTTAACCCACTGAGCCACCCAGGCGCCCCAAATAAATAAAATCTCAAAAAAAAAAAAAAGATTTATTTCTTGATTTTAGAGACAGCACACGAGTGGGTAGGAGCTGGGGGGAGGACACAGACTCCCCAATGAATGGGGAGCCTAACCCAGGGCTCGATCTTAGGACCCTGAGATCATGACCTGAGCCAAAACAGTCAGACGCATGACTGAGCCACCCAGGTCCCCCAGTGCTTATCATTTTAGATATTACAATATATGTGTAACTCTAAATAACAATTAGAATGATTTTGCATGTGATTGAACTTTATATAAATATATTATTTGTATCTATCTGTAGCTTGCTCTTATCATTCAATATTATGGTTTTGAGATTTACCTGAGTCAATACTTTAAATTCTAGTTCATTAATTTTCCTCTACTATAGGATAGTCCATTATGTGAATATACTTCAATTTAATTATCTCCTGGCCAGTCAATAGACACTTAAGATTTTTTCCAGTTTTTCACTATTTAAAATGATATTACAATGAATATTATGTTTTTGTTATTGTATACAAGGGTTTCTCTAAGTATATACCTAGGAGTAGAACGTCTATTTTCTGGGTATAGTCAAATTGTTCTTCAAAATAGTTGTACTGGTTTATACTACCAGCAGATTTCCTTTACTTCACATTCTTGCCATATATGTTTTTATCAAACTAAAACAAATTTTCTTTGCCAATCTGAATGCATGTGTACTGTGTCATACCCTGGTTTTGATTGGCATTTCCTTGATTACATAGTAAGTAGTAAGGTTCAGCATCATATATGAGCCATATGCAAACACATAAATGCTTTCTGGTTTCCTTAACTTCTTTGCCCTTTTCTAACTGAGCAGTAGGAGTTATTTCTACAGTGTAGGTACTAAGCCTTCGTTGGTTATATGCACCACATTTTCTCATAGTCTATGTCCTGCCTTTTCACTGTTTATGGTATCTTTTTAGAAAAGATCATTAACTTTTTTTTTGAGAGAGAGAGAGAGAGAAAGAATGTGCATGCAGGGTGGGGAGGGGCACAGGAAGAGGGTTAGAGAGACTCTTAAGTGGGCTCTTGTCTGGTGTGAGCCCCACAGGGGGCTTGATCTCATGACCCTGAGATTATGACCTGAGTTGTGAAATCAAGAATTAGATGCTGAAGTGACTAAGCCACCCAGGGACCCCTAAAAGACCATTATCTTAATGTAATCATATTTACCAATCTTTTCCTTTAGGGTTTATGTGTGTTTTGCTTATTTATTAAGACTTTATTTTTAAGTAATCTCTACACCCAATGTGGGACTTGAAGTCTCAACCCCAAGATTAAGAGTCATAGGCTCTATCGACTGAGCCAGCCAGGCATCCCTTCTCTTTGTTATATTAAGAAATTCTTTCTTGAAAAAAAAAAGGTTTTATTTAGTTATTTAAGAGAGAGTGAGTGAGTGAGAGAGAGAGAGAGAGAGCACAAGCAGGGGGAGGGGCTGAGGGAGAGGGAGAAGCAGACTCCCCTGCTGAGCAGGGAGCCCAACATGGGGATCGATCCCAGGACTGGGGGATCCTGACCTGAGCCTAAGGTAGACGCTTAACTGACTGAGCCACCCAGGCATCCCGAGAAATTCTTTTAAGAATATTAAAGCCGGTTTCCTATCTTGGAACTTGAAGGTTTTAATTTTCACCCTTTGGTCTTTAATCCATTGCAATTCATTTTTTTCATGGTATGCTAGAGAGAGCTAATTTTTTTCCCCCATATCCCATATGGATAATCAATTATCCCAGGACAATTTACTATATGTTTTCTCTTATACAAAGTACCTGGCTTTCATATATGCACGTTCTGGTCATTAGAGCGGTTTGCGAATACAGCAGTCCCCTCTTATCTGCACGGGATTTGTTCCTAGTCCCCCAGAGGATGCCTGAAACTGCAGATAGTACCAAACCCTACATATACCATGTTTTTTTCTGTATATACATATATACATACATGTGGTAAAGTTTAATTATAAATCAGGCACAGTAGAGATCAACAACAATAATAAAACAGAAAAACTACAACAATATGCAATAATAAAAGTTAGGTAAATGTGGTCTCTCTCTCTCTCTCAAAATCTTATCATACTGTATTTTTCTTTTAATTGTGATGACGTGAGATGACAAAGTACCTACGTGATGAGATGAAATGGGGTAAATGGCCTAAACTGTGTGACGCGGGGTGAGGCTCGTGCTGACCCCCTGCAACAGGTCAGAAGGAGGAGCATGTGCTACCTGACTGTGCCGGTCGGGGAGCTGAAACCAGAGTGACAAGTGACGCTAGGAACGAGAGGATTACTGCATTCTAGTTTTTCTCCTTCCAGACACTCAGGGCCATGGCCACATGACTTTCAATGTGAGCAGAAGTGACCTGTCCCACTTGCTGCTCTAGTGATCCTATCAGTGTGGTCCAAGATGTCATTCTGGATCCCTGAGTCAACTCAGGGGAGCAGCACCTTGCTGTCAACTTGCCCTGAACACGCAGCACCGATAATAACTGAATTTTTGACGTGTTTGGCCACTGAGAATCTTCATTAGCAGAATTTCATGGCCATCATACAAACCGGCCTGCACACGCATACAGAGAGTAGGTCACTGGGATCTCTACTCTGTTCCAGTAACCGAATAGTCTATCCCTAGACTACACACGGCATCTTAATTACCACCGCTTTATACATCCTGGTGTCTGAGATGTGTCTGTCCTTCACCTTGTTCTTCATTGACATTATCTTTGTCGTCCTTGGCCCTTACATCTCTCGCAGGAACTTGACCATTGGTCAAGCTCCCTTACGAGCCCTGTTGAAATGGGAGATTGCAGGATGAGACATAGAGCTGTGTAAAGATCGTATCAAAGGACCCTGAGTAACTGGCCTTTGCTGCTCACTTCCCACTGAGCTCAGATACACAGAGGGACCCAGTGTGGTTAGCCAGGGGAAGCCCAGGAAGACTGGCCTGAGGGTACTCCCCTGGGCTGCATCTTCCACGGGTCTTGGATCTATTCCAGACTGGAGTAAAGATAGCAAGAATCAGGATAGAGGATCGTAAGAGCAAGAAATACTGTTATCTGAGCCTAGATTATTTGTCTGCGTTTCAGATCGCAAATAGCACAAGTGGCAGAGTGAAGGAACACGTTCTCTCCCAACAGCCTCACCGCAAGAAAATGTTGTCTTAGACTCTTTGGTTCTTAAGTTTGGGACACTGTATATAATCCTGAAAACCTGTCCTAGGAATATAGTCCCTATCCAGTCTATCCCAGGTGCAAGTTTGCTCCAACTTTATATATAATAGCAGTTATGGAGGGAGATAAGGGCCCTGTCAAAAGGTGTGATGTGACTCACTCATTCAAAACCATGATCCCTAACTAGCCACCCCTTCAGTGAAGAAAACAAGCTTGAGAACATTTTCCAACTCTCCTGGGGAATTACCAAACTCTCCACAGTGTTTCTCAATGCCTTCTTCCTGCCTTCTTTTTATTTTTTTAAGATTTAATTATTTATATTAGAGAGTAAGTGAGGCAAATGTTAAGCCAGCTCTTGTAGGACTGCTTAAGGGGAAAAAGGAGCACATTTCAGGTAAAAGGAATAATGGCACAAAATTACAGAGACTAGAATTTATGGCCTATGAACCCATGGAGGCATGTTTGTGTGTGTATGTGTGTGAGCCTGTGTCTGTGACAAGAGGCTGGTTATAAATTGGCTCAAAGAAAGTCTTATCTCGGGAGACAGTGAGAAGAGAAGGAGGGTAGGAATCTTTCTTCCTTAAACCACAGGCTACAAAAATGAATTTGCTCTTACAGATAATAATCACCCACTGTTATTTTCTTTACTTCCTAGTTATGTGTTTTAGGTTTAAGCTAACCAGTGGAGGTAACCATGAAAATTAAGAAAAGGCACTATGGCATGCTGAAGTATTTAATGGGGATAGGATATAACATCTGGGATTAACTTAAAAATATTCCAGGGAAGGGGCACCTGGGTGGCTCAGTGGGTTAAAGCCTCTGCCTTGGGCTCAGGTCATGATCTCAGGGTCCTGGGATCGAGCCCCCCGTCGGGCTCTCTACTCAGCGGGGAGCCTGCTTCCCCCTCCCCCTCTGCCTGCCTCTCTGCCTACTGTAATCTCTCTCTCTGTGTCAAATAAATAAATAAAATAAAATAAATAAATGAGCCACCCAGGGTCCCCTAAATAAATAAAATCTTAAAAAAGAAAAATATTCCAGGGAAGAAAAATTTCAGGAAAAAGGTAGAGGGAAGAGATAGAGCAAGAATAGCGAAATGTTGTTAATTACAGCTGGATGATGATCGGTGCATAGGAATTCACTGTATTAAATGTTCTACTTTTGTGCTCAACTATTATCACTGAAAAAGAAAAAAAGGAGAAAAAGATGAAATAATCCTGATAAAAGGGTGAGTGAGAGTTTAGGTCAGGGCATAATTTGTTACGACTTGTACAACAGTTATGTAACCACGGTGCGTGCTCCCAAAAAGCTGTCAAGAAGAGAAAGAACAGTGGAGAGTGACTTCTGAAGACCAGACAGAAAGAGGGGGTGCTGGCCATTCTTATAAATGGTGTTGATATAAAAAACAAACTTCAGCAAACTCCGAAGGGAACCAAATGGGTTGGTGTTTGCAGTCAAAGCTATAGTGTCAGGGTGAGTATCCGTCAGTTACCCTGAAATATCTAGAAGGATAAGAATTGTTTTTCTATGGACATTGGGGAGGGTATGTGCTATGGTGAGCGCTGTGAAGTGTGTAGACCTGGCGATTCACAGACCTGTACCCCTGGGGATAAAAATACATTATATGTTTATTAAATAAATAAATAAATAAATATTTAAAAATTAAAAAAAAAAAAGAATTGTTTCAAGTTTGAACTGGTTAAGGTGATCGCATGAATGTCTAGTATCGACCCCAAGTAGTCAAAATGGATGCCACTTCGCACACGGGCAGGGAAGGGATTATTGATGACATTTCCCACATGATTAAGGCAGTTCATAAAGGACTTAAAATACTCAGCGAAAACTCAAAAGAGAAGACAGTGCTTATCTGTTTGAGATCTATTATATTTTATTTTAAAAACACAAGAAGGGGCACCTGGGTGGCTCAGTGGGTTAAAGCCTCTGCCTTCGGCTCAGGTCGTGATCCCAGGGTTCTGGGATCGAGTCCCACATCGGGCTCCCTGCTCAGCGGGAAGTCTGCTCCTCCCTCTCCCACTCTCTCTGCTTGTGTTCCCTTTCTCTCTATGTCTCTGTCAAATAAATTAAAAAAAAAAAATCTTTAAAAAGAAAAGAAATTAGATCAAGAAATTATTAAGAAATTAGGTTAAGAAATTATGAAGAAAATCCATCTTGAAGTTTTTGCTTTTAGTTCAAAATTTAAGTTTATGACTATGCCATCATTATTTTTGTAGTTAACAAACCTATCTCATTAATTAAAGCTCAAACCACTAGATTAAATGAAAAGAATCTACAATGCTCAGTTTTGTTTTATTTTGTTTTTTTAAAAGATTTTAATTTATTTATTTGAGAGAGAGAGTGAGAGAGAGAGAGAGCATGAGAGGGGAGAAGGTCAGAGGGACAAGCAGACACCCCATGGAGCTGGGAGCCCGATGCAGGACTCGATCCTGGGAATCCGGGATCATGACCTGAGCCGAAGGCAGTCGCTTAACCAACTGAGCCACCCAGGCGCCCCTACAATGCTCAGTTTTATACAGAAATCAAAGAAAGTAAAAGAAAACCACTTACCGTAAGTGATCAACAGAAGGACAAAAGGAATGTTTTTAAATAGGTTCCTTATTGATTCCTTATAGGAGTACTCAGCACAAGGGCTTTTTTGAAGAACTGCTTGTGCCTGGCTTGGTGGATACTGAGGTTTTTCTTTGAATGCTGGAAACACACGGAAAGGTAATTAAATGCATGGTCTTCCTTACTGAGCAGACGAAATCCATTTAAGCTTAAAGAGGTAGTTAAAGTCATAGATTGAGCCTTTCATTTTCATTAATTTCTGAAGAATATCCTCCCAGTCCTCTGAAACGGACTCCAACTCGGAGATCTGGCCAATTCACATAACTGCAAAACCATCAGTAGTATGTCACAACCTTGCCCACTGATTATTCCGTTCTCAGTTAAGCAAGATTAATTTATATTCTAGTTCGTATTCAACAATTCCATTTCTAAACTTACTTCAATTTGTAATTACAAGTAACATCTGATATAAGCAAACCACTATGTTGCTGACCTTTTAGCGGACTGTCTTGAGTTAGCATCTGTTTTCTTCTAATATTTGATACAATAATTACACCTCTAGATCTGAAAACAGGCTTCTATTTTTACAGGTGTCATAAGTAATTCAAGAGGGTACATACTCCTGAATATTTGCTTTTGAACGTCCTTGTGTCAGAGGACTGGCAGACATACACTGTTTAAGTTGTTGCATTTCCTTCTCTTCTGTTCTCCCTAACTGTTCCTTGCTATTGAGGACGCCTGTGGTCCTTCCCGGAAAGCCTCTTTGGGTCCTAGTTAAGAGAGGAGCTATTTCTTTTTCCTAACAGTGGTAATACACAACTCACGTGGTTATAAAACAAAATTTCAGAATGTAAAAACCATGCTTACAAGGTAGTCATGGGGATTTGGTGAGTCGTCAATCTCTTACTAGGTTCTTATTTACTCTGGTAAAGTAAGTATAAATGGCTCAGATTTGAATTCAAACGCAAAGAGAAAACAATTCGGATTAGTCTTCAGCTCTGCTGAATTTATTTTCTGAAGATGTGATAGCATTTGGTTTCAGGTAGCCATCTGCCCTGTTGAACAAAATTAGGCCTGTATCTATCAGCTACACAATACACTAAAGTTAGGTTTCAGTCTATAGGAAGAAAAAGAAACAGAGGAACAGAAAACCACTGGTCTATGACTCTGTTTACTTTGCGTTGTTTCTTTCAAAAGATGAAATATGGCTTTTTCTTTCCTTTGAAACTAAAAAGCGGTAGACTTCTTCTTTCCTCTCCCCACCAAATACTGTATGCTAATAAAATAATTAACTACAGGGGCCCCTGGCTGGCTGAGTCGGTAGAGCATGCAACTCTTGATCTCGAGGTCATGAGTTCAAGCCCCACACTGGGCAGAGAGTTTACATTAATACTATTAATAATATGGGTGCCTGGGTGGCTCAGTGGGTTAAAGCCTCTGCCTTTGGCTCAGGTCATGATCCCAGGGTCCTGGGATCGAGCCCCGCACATTGCACATTGAACCCTGCACATCGCACATTGGGCTCTCTGCTCGGCAGGGAGCCTGCTTCCCTTCTTCTCTCTCTCTGCCTCTCTGCCTACTTGTGATCTCTGTCAAATAAATAAATAAAATCTTTAAAAAATAATAATAATAATACCATTCAAGCAGTTGTTCTCCAAAGTAGCCAAAGGATTTTGGGGCACCACATTCAAACCCTTTCTCCCATGAAGAATAAGAAGGAAATCTACTGTGCTTAGGACTACTTGTACTTTTTGGAATTAGATAATAACATTATCTTTTGATTTCATTATTTGTCCCCCAAGCAGACATTCCACATATGAACTTAGTACAAGATACATATAGGTTTGAATACTGGCTCTGCCTCATATCTTTGTGTAACTCAGAAGAAGTCAATTCCTGCCTCTCAACTATAGCTTTCTCATACATAAAATGGAAATAATGAGTTCTTATGAAGATTATATGATATAATATATGCAAAATCTTGTAATTTTTGAATTCTACGCAGAATACAGTGTCATTTTCAGGACTACTTTTTTTCTTTAAAAAGATCTACTCACTTATTTGAGAGAGAGAGCACAAGTAGGGGGAGAGAGAAAGGGAGAAGTAGACTCCCTCTGAGCACAGAGCCCAACATGGGGCTTGATCCCAGGACCCCGAAATCATGACCTGAGTGGAAGTCAGATGCTTAACCCACTGAGCCACCCAGGTGCCCCAGGAATACCTACTTTCAAAAGTCAGAGACTTTATCTCACATGCTTGAAATTCTTACAGAGTAAGTAAAACATATTTCTGTTAAATGTTTACAACAGCAGCCTATCTATAAATATCCTTAATATAAGAATCAAAAGTAGAATTTTACATATATGTTATATACGCATGTGTTTAAGTACCTTAACGTTAAATATTTTGATTGCCTTTATGTCTGGTTTCTCTCATCCACTCATGTTAGTGAATCAGGAAGCTAAGGATTTCAATTTGGACACTTGAGTTAAGTGACAGAGTTTACTGCCCTCCTACACAAGGACAGCTTTCATACACAACAGCATTACCACTTATACAAGAGAAATTTAAACTTGAATAAAAATAAGACTAAATAAAAATTAAAATGACATATTTTTATATATAACATTTTAAATATGGAGTTAGGGTACCTAGACTCAAATTTCTCCTTTAGTATTCACTGTGACCATGGATAGATTACATTCACTTAAATGCTGTGTTCTACTTTCCTACCAAATTTTCTACGAAATGGGAATGATATTAGTACCATCCTCCTATGCCTATGAGGATTAGATGATACAGCATTGAGTGTGCCAAACGTGTTTGGTACTTACCACACCACCAAATGCTACAGGCCACAATCGGGTAGGGTATGAAGAATGAGGTATTAGTGTGAGATTTGGTGGAAGGCTTAGATTGATTCTTAGAAATGCTACATTCACGAGTACGCTCCATGAGGGAGGGCAACAGTGGTACGTGACATAAACCTCAAGATAGTATTTTTGAAAGACTGCTGAATACCAATTTAGTACATGACACATTGCTGAAAAGCAACAGCAAAGCCAAATTACTTTATAAAATTTAGTTGGGCTTCCAAAGTATTTATGGGAAGTATTTAGAAGGAAGTTGGATTTCTTTTAGTAATTAAGGGCCTTTAAGTAGGGATTTTAAAAATAATCCCTATCTTCTTCAATAGCAAGTATTTGAGAATAAGGAAAACAGATAAATTTTTTTGTTTAAATGTCGTGATTTTCAGGGCACCTGGGTGGCTTGGTCGGTTAAGCTGCTGCCTTCGGCTCAGGTCATGATCCCAGGGTCCTGGGATTGAGCCCTGCATCAGGCTCTCCACTGAGCAGAAAGCCTGCTTCTTCCTCTCCTTCTGCCTACTTGTGCTCTGTCTACTTGTGCTCTTTATCTCTCTGTTGAATAAATAATAAAAAAAAATCTTAAAAAAAATTAAAGAAATAAAAACAAATAAGTAAATAAATGTCATGATTTTCAACCCAAGATATTCATGTCACTACTGTATATTATCTTGCTTTTATACTATGCTTGGTATCCTAAGGTTAAGATTACAGGTCACCAAGCAAAACTTGACAGTGAGCCCTTTCTTCCCTGCTCCATCTCCACTGTCTATTCAGAAGATATGAGAGCATAAATTAGTAATAATGTACATGTATATGTCTCCTTTAATTTCTCAAATAACATAGGTGCTAGGTCAAACCTATTAATAATGCCTTTCTGTCCCCTTCCTTTGAGAAATAAAAACCTTATATTTGTAGCATCCCCTATAGAAATGCTTAAACACATATGTGTCATGTATATAATTTCACATGTAGAGATATCTTATATAGAACCTGTTCTCTCATTTCTTCCAAAGAGATAAAGCAATGAAAAGACAATAAAAAAAGGAAGACCAGAATTGATGTGAAGATACACAAGCAATCGCAGGAAGGAGGATTTTACATTTTAATAATCCCTACTGCTGACAGAGGATCCATTTATGCAAAATATATACAAACTATATGTTATCTAGCAAATCAAATATGGCTACCGGAGAAGTAGACTTAAGAGTTTATTTTTAAAAAACATAGAGTTGACCCTTAAACAACATGGGGGTTAGGGGCACCAATCCCCTACAGATGAAAATTCATGTATAACTTTTGATTCCCCCAAAACTTAACAACTAATGGCCTACTGTTGACCACAAGCCTTACCAATAACATAGCTGATTGACGCGTATTTTGTACGTTATATGTGTTACACATTGTATTCTCAAATTAAGTAAGCTAGAGAAAAGAAAATGTTACTAAGAAAGTCATAAGGAGGGGCATGCTTGGGTGGCTCAAGCCTTTGCCTTCGGCTTGGGTCATGATCTCAGGGTCCTGGGATCGAGCCCCGCATCAGGCTCTCTGCTCAACAGGGAGCCTGCTTCCTCCTCTCTCTCCTGCCTGCCTCTCTGCCTACTTTGTGATCTCTCTGTCCAATAAATAAGTAAAATCTTAAAAAATAAAAATAAATAAATAAATAAATAAATAAAATCTTTAAAAAAAAAGTCATAAGGAAGAAAAAATACTGTACTTTTACAGTATACTTTTACAGTACTATAAAAAACCCATGTATAAATGAATGTGTGCAGTTCAAACCCATGTTGTTCAAGGGTCAACTGCAGATTTCTTTTAAAGCTTTTTTAAACTGCTGAAATAGTACAGGGATGATTTGTCCTATACACAGCAAAAATGTCACTCCCTAACTGAAACATAAAAAAACAACCATGAGGAGATTTGGCATGTCAGAATACTTTATATGCTACCAAGAGAATATTTTTTTTCATTATCTGAAGGTAAATTAAATGTATGGGCAGTTCATCTATAAAGGCAGTCTCTACCAAAACAGTCTTCCACCTACACGCCTTTGAAAACTTTGTGATCTAGAGATCACAAAATTTGAATTTTTCATTACTATTACAGCCATGGTGAAAATTAACCTTATAAATTTTAAAACTCCAGCTATAATGCAATTTAATGTAAACATTAATGAATAAAAGATGATCTTTCAACTTTCAAGTTGCTTTCTTCCTCAAATCAAGTTAAGATATACTGAGTGCCCAAAGGGCTATATTACAGTTATACTATCAACCACATTCCTGAAAAAAACCTGTCCTCCCTGCGAGCAAAATTTTTTCCCATTAAAAATAAACTTTAGGGGCACCTGCATGGCTCAGTGGGTTAAAGCCTCTGCCTTCAGCTCAGGTCATGATCCCGTGGTCCTGGGATCGAGCCCTGCATCGGGCTCTCTGCTCAGCGGGGAACCTGCTTCCCCCTTTCTCTCTGCCTGCCTCTCTGCCTACTTGTGATCTCTGTCTGTCAAATAAATAAATAAAATCTTTTAAAAATAAATAAATAAACTTTAAAAAGCAGACCTTCCCAAACCTTCTTCCAAACTGATGATGGCTGCTTGCAGCTGATTTGGACTGACTGCTTCAAGAGACAGGCCCCGACGAGAGGACTCAGGGACGAGTGGTGACAGCAGTGCTTTGCTGGAGTGGCCCAACAAGCAGGCAGTGGCCAGTGTGAGGCTCTGCGGAACAGCTTACCACTGCCCAGGATCGTTCACTGGTCAACATGTTCAGATCCAGTTAATTGTTAAAATAGGGATCCTTGGAAGGATTTCTCATTAAAAAAGAAAAAAAAGGTTGCAGCCTCTTTGCATCATTTCAAAGCATGACAAGGATTTGTTCCTGGGTTTGTTAGCATAAGCCGCAGAAAATGTAGAAGAAGATGCAAACGGGAGGCAGGTGGCATGTTGGAAACCACGGTTATGCGGGAAGAACCGTTAGTAGGGAGAGAAATCAGATGAATTAGTCTTCAAACCCTTTACGATATTAAAGTAGATGGTAGCTGACCATAACATATCCCTAGGGATGTAGCATTCATTATCTGAACAAATGCATCAGCAAGAATGAAACAAGCAAATGGCATTCGAGATATTATCATGAAAATGTTCAGGGTCAGCTACTTTGTTTTCCATATTTTGGCCATGCATTTATCTCTTTAAGCAACAGGGAAAATAATTTGCTTACCAATTACTGTTAAAAGACATAAAAACGTGGCGATGGATGATGTCCCATAAAACATGGTACTGATATTACAAGCCAGCAGATCTGTGTCATTCTGTGTGTTGGGCACTAAAACTGGTGGTAGCAAAAAGCCAACAGCAGTTCCAAGCTGAAAAATAAACAATCCTGTTAATAGCTACTATTAATAAGAGAAAAAAAGGACATACTGGCCATTAATACAGCATAGAGAAGACACCTTGTGTATTGAAGGTGTAAGGTGTACATTCTAAAGCACCATGTTCTGGGGTGCTGGGCTGGCTCAGTTGGAGGAGCGTGAGACTCCTGATCTCGGGGTCGTGAGTTCGAGCCCCACACTGTGTATAGAGATTACCCAAATAAATAAACAACACCACGTTCTAATGTTTTGTTGGTTTTTCTCACTACTGTACTGTTAAAGGGTAGTTGCTGACAAATGCCTTCACTATTCAACAAACTCCTACTATTTGAATGATTCTGCTGTAAAGATGGGTAAGATACCATTCTTATACTTTAGATGATTACAGTCAAAAAGAGGAGTAAGAATATGTAGATCAGGGGCGCCTGCGTGGCTCAGTGGGTTAAAGCCTCTGCCTCTGGCTCAGGTCATGATCCCAGGGTCCTGGGATCGAGCCCCGCATTGGGGCTCTCTGCTCGGCGGGGAGCCTTCTTCCTCCTCTCTCTTTCTGCCTGCCTCTCTGCCTACTTGTGATCTCTGTCAAATAAATAAATAAAATCTTTAAAAAAATATGTAAAGTAAAGTTCAGAAAAGATGAACTTGGTGGGTATTGGGTCTTCTTTGAGGGTAAATGAAAATGTTTTGGATCTAGAGAGAGGGATGGTTGTACAATACAGTGAAAGTATTAAATGACACTGCGCTATAATCTAAGATGGTTAATTTTATGTTATGTGAATTTTGCCTTAGTAAGAAAAACACAAGGTTGGATAGGATGATCACAATGAAAGAAATAAAATGAAAGGCGCTCAAAAGAGAAAGACAGCAGATTTTTTCAGGGATGGAGATGAGGAGGAAGGGCCCTAGACTGGTTTCCAAATGGAGGCTGAGAGAGATACTAAGAGTCACCAAACACTTCATTTGCTCCTTTACAAAAAGCGGGATAGAGACCATTAAACAGGTGATTACAAGACAGCATGGTAAGTACAGTGATGGAGAGGTAGAGGGCACAAAGCCTGCAATGATCATGGGATCTATCATGCCAATGAGAACACTATTCAGAGTGAAAGGGACTAAATGAATAGTTAGCTCTACACCTGGATTATCCCTGGCTAACTGAACAAACGGTCGCCCTAGCTAAGAAACTACTTTGAAGGACCACTTTGTATAGACTTGGGGTTCAGGAAAAGTTTCTGGAGGAGCAAAGATCTGAAAAAGAAAGTGGAGTTTGCCACATGAAATCTGCGTGTTCCCAGCCAAGGGAATATCATGTACAAAGGAAGGAGGAGAGCATGACCTTGTGAGAAGCTGGAAGTAGCAGACAATTCCCCTCAGAGCAGAGAAAGAATGTGGATGTGAGGAATGGGGGGATGTGGAGAGGGGAAGCTGAGAGTTGACAGGAGGCAGATCCAAAGGGTCTTCCGCCATCTCATTAGAGAGTTTGAATTTTATCCTCCGGGCAACAGAAGCCACTGCAGAGTAGAAGGGCGTGCCCTGGACAGATCTGCACATTAGAAAGACCACTGTGGATGGATGTGGAGAGTAACAGGGAAAGAGAAAAGAGCTGCAGATAGGAAAATCAGCCAGCAATGTCTAAGTAAGGGCTGCCAGTGGCCAAAGTTAAGATAGTGGCAATAGAAATGCGGAGAAATAAGCAAGGAGATGAGGTAAATTTGGATGGGCTGGGTCATATGGAAATATTCAGCTGGCCTGTATCTACATGAGTCTGAAGCTCATCCACTTATTCAACAAATTTTTATGGAGAATCTATAATGTGCTGGGCACTGTGTTAAGTGCTGGTGAGACAACTGTATACATTCAGACCACATGCCTATTTTCATGAAACTTACAATCTAATGGTGGGGATGGGAAATGAGTAGTAACAATTAATATATGAGCATAAATATATCAGACAGTGATAAGCGCTGTATGGAGATAGTATAATGATGTGATAAGAGAGTGACTGGGATCCTCAAGAAAGGCCACAAAATGATAATTTAAAATGAGTTTAAATGAGAGTTGAGTGACGGTAAGGATGTAATAATGTGATCCTAGGAGGAAGAACATCCCAGGCTGAGAGAATGCTTCTGCAAAGTCCCTCATGCAAAATTCAAGCTTAGTGTTGTTTAAGGAGCCGAAGAAGACATGTTAGTATAAGATTCTGTAACACAGAGTGAAGAGTTTAGATTTTAGGTACTATGGGAAATCACTGGTGAGTCCAAAGCAGAGCAAAAGATGACAGGATCTGATCCATGTTTTTAAAGGGTCTCTCAGGTTAGAGACCTGGCAGTAGAGACAGTGAAAAGCCAGGATGCAGGAATCAGACAGACTTGGCTGTGAATGCTGCCATCAGTTAGCTGTGTGGCTTCTGGAAAATAAGGTCATCCCTTCAACTCTGTTTCTGTATCTATAAAATGGAGAGACTAATGGTTCCTACCTTATATTATTAAATTCAAGGACACAGTGCATGTAAAATACTTAGCATGGTTCCAGGTTCTTGGTGAATGCTCAGTACTGTTGAATATTAATATAAATGATCACTCCATAATTTAGGCTGAAAATGAGGGCCATGAACAGGTGCACAGCTACTGTAGCCTGGGAAGGACGAGAACACGTAGGGAGAATGTACGTGAAGGCAGAGGTGTGCTGAACGTCAGAGGGAAATCTGCCTTGAGAAGACATTTCCATTTATTATCCATAAATAGATAATCCACAGATATGGAGTTAATAATACTTCTGTCATGCTCAATGAAGTATGAAAATGGAATATAATTTTGTAAATGAAAAATACTTTAAGAGTTCCTATCTAAACATATGGAAGCAACCAACTAAAATATCAGTTATAAATTATTTTGAATATACAACAACTACAGTTCAAACTACCCTTTCTTTTGCACTTTTAGAGAAAGAAGATAAGCATAAAGTAATAAACATGTAGAGCTAGTCTTTTTATGGATTTTAGGTAAATCTTATGTGATCTTGAAACAAGTGTTAGATCGGAAGTAAGAGAGTAACATTCTTTTGTTACACAGCATGTAGGAATATAGGCATAGAGAGGTGAAGTTCATGGTATATAGGTTTTTAACTACATTCTCCTCAAGCTGAATGAATACTCAACATAATGTACATAAAGTATCACAGGGCTCCAATATGCAAATTTTAAATGACAATGAAAGAATCAATCTGCAATTACAACGCACACACACACTTCATTCTGCTTAGTAATGCTATTGGAATTTAAACCTATGGTGTTAGGTTAGTAGGACTAGGAAGAACTTTAAGGGGGAATTGGCAAAATAAGCTACCCTTTTAGAATGGGTTCCATGATCTGTGATCTGACTTGCATTTTCTTACTGTTAAAAATTGGAATTGGACTCAGTAATGTTGTGAGAGGTCTTTACCACCATAACATTTATTTAGCTGTCATTTATAACTGTTTGTACCAGGCACTCTGCTGATTGCTAACATATGAATTTAAACAGGAAGGAAGCCTGGCTGACTCAGTCGGAAGAGTGTGCAACTCTTGATCTCAGGGTCATGAGTTCCAGCCCCATCTTGGGTGCAGAGAGTACTACAAAAGATAAATAAACTTTAGAAAAATAAATACATAAGTAAAACAAGCCTAAATAAAATAAAACAGGTGCTGTTCACATTGATCACTCAAAAGGAGAAAAACTTCCTGGAATCCAACACCTTCCTTCTACAAGGAATACACTGGGGATGGCAAAAATACCTACTTCAGTCTCACTGGTTATTACACTGACAAGTTTTCTATGATGTTAGGGATATATGGGCCAGTTCAGTTATTTTACAGGTAATTCTCAAAGCAAGATGACAAGGTGCTCACTTCAAACTGGTTTCAAAGTTCTGTCCTTACAAATAAATACCCTCTTTAATCCAAGACCCATCTCCTTCCCTGCACTTACACACAACCGCCTCCTGAGGGCCCCATCCATATGCCTAGCTCACCCGGCCTATGCCTTGATCTGGTCCTTTAACCATCCATCCGGTTTTCCTGTGTCACTCTAGTTCTTACCTGATTGCCCAGCACGGCGGTGGCACAAGCTGTGGATACCTCCTTGGGCCCAAACCACACCGAGGCGATGCGGGAGGGCAAGCCGAGGATGAACACCTGGGCCACGGAGCAGAGGCACTGGCCCAGCATGGTGACCCAGAAGAGATGCTGCTGGACACTGGCGCACTTGATCCAGGCGCCCAGGCAGTTGAGGCCGGAGCCCAGCAGGGCGGTGAGCCGCAGGCCTCTGGTGTCCAGCAGCCACGTGGCCGGAAAGATGAGGGGCACGTAGGCCAGCATGTACACCATGGACAGCCAGTCGATGTGCAGGGAGGAGACGCCATAGAAGCCCTCAAAGACATTGCTGATGATGCTGTACTGGATCCACTGAAAGGCGTTCACCAGCGAGTACAGGCTGAAGATCAGCAGCACCACAAAGCGCCGCGCAGAGAGCGCCGTCTGGGGCACCCGGGAGCCCTCGGCCCCGGGGCCCGTGGGCAGCAGCCGTGTCTGGGTCTCCTCCTCTGGAGCCAGCGGAGTCTGAGGCCTGCTGAGGGTTTGAGCGGCGGCCGCGAGGCTGTCCCGAGACACTCCATTCAGGGTCAGGCAGCCGGCTTTGAGCCCGTTCTGCGGCTCGGCGCTTAGCTTTCCGGGGAGCTCGCCCCCCGGGACCAGGAGGTATCCATTCGCGGGCGGGTGCCCGGGTGCCACCGCTCCCCCCTCCTCATCGTCCAGCTGTGCCATGTCCCTGCGCTCCCCCGCGCCGCGGCCCTCCTCCCCCTCCCCGCACCCCCCGCCCAGGACCCGAGGCCCTCCCAGCACCCCAACCCCAACCCTTTGGACCACCGCTCATGCAACCCTTTCCCTGGCCGGGTGAGCCTGGGTGCGACCCGCGAAACCCAGCCGGCGCTACCGGAGGCCGCGGGCGAAATAGCTGTCCTCGCGCGCCTCCAGGCCTGCGGTCACCCTGCCCCAGGCCCCGCCCCAAGAGCGTCACCCGACCAATCAGCGGGCGTCTTCCCCCCCGGCGCGAGAGCCAATTGGGGTGCTTCTGTCAGGGATGAGGCGGGAGCAAATTTGCGGGGTGGAGAGGAGGAAGGCGGGACTGGAAGGTTAAGGCCGCGCGTTCTCTGCCGCGGAAAGATGCAGTCGGCGAGAGTAGACAACGTGGGAAGAGGGCGGGAGGGGATGTGGAGGCGGGAGGGGATGTGGGGGGGGTGGGGAGGGTGAGCGGGAGGGGAGGGCGGGAGGCTGCCCGGGCACCTCGGCCCCTCGGAACTGAGAACGAGGGGGCGGGAGAAACGCGGGAGACAAAGAGGTGCGCATCGCGCTCCTCAGCCGGAGGGGCTGCTCGAGGGCGGGGTCCACACGCAGGCCGAGGACGAGTTTGACCTCGGCCCAGCACAGCTGCGCCTCAGGATCCGACCCCGCCTTTAGGGCAGACAGGACCCCATTTCAGAAATTCGTGCCGCCTCGGCAGAGGAAAAACACCAGAATGCGCTTCAGCCCACATAGATTTCGTCAGCAATCTGCCCCTGGTGAAGTTGGAATCCCCCGCCCCGCTGACGACGGAGGCCGGCGGGACCGACGGGCCGTGCCGAGCAGACCCTGTGACTCAAGGTTCTCCCTCGGACCCCCTCCCGCAGCTCGGCTCACTGGACGCGCAGGTGCAGTGGGCTCCGGGGACTCCAGGTACCAAACTTGTGTATGTTCCAGACTCTGGTGCCCCAGGGAATCAAACAATGAAGCCGGTCCTGCTCTCGAGACCACGTGTACGTAGCCTTGAGAGTCTTCTAGAGAAAATGTGCCGCCTGCTGCTACTTAGGAAACTAATTTGGAAAAAAAAACAACCGAAAGACTCCAAATACTCCTTATTAAAGTGAAATTGAAACCCGGAGTATTTAACTATGGGTTTAATCTTTAAAAGTGCTGCCATTTAGAAGCCTAAAACCCTCTACATCTTTTTAATGCCTCCTAATATTATTATTTTGGTGATGTATATCCGATATATGCCTCAGATATATATATCGGATACCGCTCCGTACAGGTGAAATACTACGTAATCCTAAACTTTAAGGAATATGTGCATTTTAATGTCTTCCTTGGCCACCTTATATAAATTGCCACATGCCCCCCGCCCCATCCTCCTTAGTCCCCTTCCCTTCATAATTCTTCTTAGTGCTTACCACTATCTGAAATGTCCTGTATTTTACTTATTTTTTTTTTCTGGTTATTTTCTCCCTCCCCACCAGAAGGTAAGCTCTATGAGGGCAAGTCTGAAAATTTACTGCTATTTCTTAAATGACTGCAGCGAACAATCATTGAATTATTATTGACTATTTTAAATAATTACTTGCTTTGTAAATGAATCCATTCCTTTTTTTAAAAACATGCAAATTTCCCCTGCAAATATGATTTTCTAAACATTGATTTATATAGTATTTCAGAGTATTAAGCTATATTCTCTGAATGAACAAACAACCAAATGTGGCCTCCAAAGGACTTCAGTCTTAGTTAAGAAGTTTATTTTATGGGTCTTGGAAAAAGATACTAATTGCATTGCTCAATATACAGCACAACGTATTATGCAACCTTCAGAGTGATTTTTTTAAATAGTTCATGTAGCGTGAAACTTTCTACATAGTTCACAGAAAAGCTGTTTAGAAGGGGAATCCAGTGGGTACAATTTTAAATGGACCTTTCTTCACTTGCCCTGTCATACCTCCATTCCAGATAGTCACAGTGATCATTCAGATCTCTGCAAACCTCCCACCCCCTTCCTGAAAGAAGAAACTGGCAGGTTATATTAGGTTCATTTCCCCATTAGCCAGTGTGTGTTGGCGATTGTCTTCTATTAGATCTGAACATAACTTCCCTCTCTGCACAGAGGCAGCTTCCTGAATGTACTTCTGCAAGGCCATTCTTTCTGATTGTGTAGGCTTCTTCTGTCTAGAGATAATTTGCCTTCTCTAGTCCTTAGCAAGAAGGATGGGATTGAGAGCCCTCTGGGTATCCTGGGTAACAGTCAGTATCTAATTTCCCTACACATTTTCACCAGCTGGTACCTATTCTGGCTTGTCCATTTTGTCACTTGCCTTCCCTGCCTATGGCACAGTTCTGTGTCTGATACTGTCACCACCTATGTGGAGCGTAGCATGAAGGGGGTTTAGAGTAGTGGAGAAGAGCATATCTAGAGACAGGCTACCTGAATTTGAGTCCCCACTTCAGTACTCACTAGCTGCCCAACCTTGGGCAAGTTGCTTAGCTGTTTCATAATAATACATTGCTATTGTGGGGAATAAATGAGTGAATGGTGCCTGGCACATGGTTCAGGCATTCTTAAGATAGCTTATATAGGGGTTAGGGTCCAGGCTTCAGATCCAGTTGGCCTGGATTCAAATCCTAGTTCTTTCACTTTCCAGCTGCATGACTTTGAATTAGTTACTCTGTACGTCAGTTTCTGCAGTTAGAAAATAGAGACAATATTATTCATGAAATTATTGTGAGAAATAAATGGCTAGTAAATACAAAGTGCTTAAATAGTGCTTGACCTGTGAATAATAGTAATCAGTAATATACTCAGTAAATGTTACCTAAAGCCATTGTCCATCAACGCATGTCTGTCCTCAGAGTTATATCTTGTTCTCATGTTATCTTATATTTGACCCCATCCTGCCTATTGAAGCTTGCTTGCATTGTCCTGGAGCTACTGCAAGCGCTCTCAGAGTGAAATTATGATTGTAGAGCCCTTTCTAGAGAGTACTCTGAGAATGCCCTGAAAGGGCAGCATATGGTGGCGTATACTAACTACCCTTGGCCTAGCAAGAGACAGATTTCTTATCAGAGGTGGTCAGCAGTCGAACAGACAATATCCAGACAACAGATGTTATCTGTGTTGGACCAGGTGTGTTACGGATAGGATGCCTGAATTCCATAGAAAATGGACTATGTGGGGCACCTGGCTGGTGCATTTGGTTGAGCATCTGACTCTTGGTTTCAGCTCATGTCGTGATCTTGGGGTCATGGGATCAAGCCCTGCTTGGGGCTCCACGCCCAGACTCAGTGGGGAGTCTGCTTGAGGATTCTCTCTTCCTCTCCCACTGTCCTTCCCCCCTCAAATTAATATATCTTTAAAAAAGAAAAGAAAGAAAATTCAACTATGTGAGATTTAAGATTTCTGACTCTAAGTTTCTATGATATATGAAAAGTAAAATAAGATATTTCCAAAGAAAGGATTAGACGAAATTCATATGCTTCATTTGACAAAGTTCCATAAGGAAATAATGGAGTACAGAAAAGGGAAAACTCAGCAGTATCCCTTTGTAGTATCATTCCAGTCTCTTAACCTTGCCTCCTCTCTCTTGAACCTTCAATAGTAGGTACTTATTGACCAGTTTAGGTATGAATCATACTTTATGTCATATGTTTGGAGGTATAAACCATAAACCTTTCCCTGCCAGAGAGGACAGTACTGGGAGCATCACTTGGCTGGGAGTCGAGAGGAGACCGAGCTGCATTATGGGTGTGGAATGCCACATCTGAGAGAGATTTGAATAAGTAACAGTTCAGCAATATGATATCTGGATGGCATCCAGGAACCAAGGTCCAAGATGCTATCAAGAGTGATGTGGCTGTTCCTGAGCAAAGGTTTCCTGCAACCTAAGAGCATAAGATGCAAACCAGAACCATGCTACTAGATGTAGAATCCACCATGTTTCTTGGGGAAGGGGGTAGACTTTAGCAACTTGACTTCAGCTTCCACCACTATTACTGTGCTCTGTCCACCTGAGTGGCCAGATCTCTGCTGTTGTAGAGATTAAGTTGGGGAATGGAGGAATAGAGGAGGCTGGAAATCAGAATCCTCCCGTGTGTTTTTTTCCTCATCCAGACATAGTGTGTGTGTGTGTGTGTGTGTGTGTGTGTGTGTGTGTGTGTCTAACATTCATAGAAAATAATCACAGGGTTTTCCCTTCTGTGTATTTTTGTCTTGCTTCTTGAGTTCTTACAAAGAATCCAAATGGAAGGGATGGGGTGGGGGACTGAAAGTTCCAATGCTTTCATCAGTTGGTTGGTTCCTCTGGCAACCAACCCATCCCTAGGTACTTTCCAAAAGTCATTTCATTAATAGTATAAGGAAATCATCCCAGGAAAGTCCCAAGGTTTGAGAAGCTCTGTGCAAGAAACTTTGTTGAGAAAGCCAGATGTATTGTTCTTACTATAAATTACAAAAATACATGAGCATGGTAGTTTGTATGTATTGGCAAGACAAATTCCTGATTCCCAGGCCTGGGAGTATGAGGGTGCTAATAGAGTATGTGGACTGGAGGCCATACCAACAGCAGAGGAGGACTAGCACAGGGAAGAGGAAATCACACCATATTAGTCCTCTCCAGGCCTCTAATATGCCACGTTTGTGTTTATCATGCAATCTGACTCATGATCTCTGCATCTTCCCTTAATTTAGCCAGATCCCACCCATTCTGTATGGTCCAGGTCAACTCCATTCCCATTCCCTTCCTTAGTCTATCTCTATAATTGGAGCCCCTAGAGCTATCATCCTCTTCTGACCATTAACACCCTTGGAGCTACTCGCTGAACATTGCCTGGCGGCTACCTAGCTTTTCTTTATATTTTGTCCCTCATCTAGATTTGAGCGTCCTGAAGCCAGGGACTGGATTTTACTTTATAACACCCTCGGTACCTAAAAAAAATTTTTACTTGGCAGTGTAGGGGCCCAGGGCAGGTTGTCCCCCAAGTGTGCCGTAATGGCATGTTGATTACTTTGAATTAAAGCTACTGAAGGAACACTTTGAAAAATGGGAAATAAATCTCCTTTGTGGAAGGTACCCTCGCTGTACCAGGAGGTAGAGAGATAGGGAATCCTTATCACCAGAAGTAGAGAATTTAGAGCCTAAGAAGGCCGTATAAACAAACCCTGTTACTTTTTACTCATTTACTACCTCAG